GAAACGTATGAACCACACACACACACACACACACACACACACACCATGATTTTGACTGTGGGCATCGGCTAGATAGGGCATTGAGGTGTACGGGGCACCGGATCCCAATGCATTGCAATTTCTACGCACCACCCTGCTATTTTACGGGTTAGGCCTTGGTTAGCCAAAAGCTCCAGTTATGAATTCCCCAAGAAGATTCACCCGCTTTGGTCTGGACACCCAACAGTTCGGGCACACAAGCAGGTCATGGAACAGTTTTTCTTTTGATAACGATTTTTATTTCGTGATTTGTTTGGCACACAGAGACTGTACTCAGACGTGTGTGTGAAATACGTACCTATATGTGCATGAGCGATCTAACATTTCAAAGAGTGGGGTATTATATCCTTGTTACGGAAAGAGACAATAACGTTAGCTTTCGATCTCAACATTCATCCCGTTCTCATATATGTGACCTGTACAACGTGGACTACCTTAATCCAATACAGATCCTGCCGTCTGTAACCCAAGCCGATTGGCTCACTCTTGCGACCCCGATGACAAATGTATATTGTTGTAGTTCAACAGAAATTGGCCCGGATCTGGTGTGGCTCCAGCCTGAAATTCAATTTGTCACCTGATCTGGATATAGAGGAGTTTGAATTGGTCGAACAGCACTCTTTTACAAGGAAAAATTTGATTGCATTACTCCAATGGGAACTAACGTATGATGGAAGGAAACTGAATGCAAGTTGTAATTCTACCCTACCCCTCCACAAAAAGCAGTAGTGAATAAAACCATCCGAAATTATACGCCTGATTTACCTGGTCCGTGATCTGAACCAAACGTATAANTCCCCACCCCCCCCCCCCCCACACACACACACACAAACCCCGAATCGATCGTTTATGCTGTTCGAGCAGTCTAGGCACATGGTACAGTGGATGCCATCCTTCATCCGCGAATCATCGCTCTTCGGGGCGTCACCGCGCAGCAAAAACCGGACAGTTTACGAATATCCGACTCAGACTTCAATGGGATTTGCTGACAGTGTTTGGGATCACTGTTTGCGAGTTATAAATACCTAAAGTCCCCTTGGTTTGAAATACCATCCCGAACAATATCTCCATCAGCCAGCGCTGGACCAACCTAGCCGACAGGTAGTACGGCACCTGAGCACCAAAATGTCCTATCCTCCGGAGTCTATAGCTTTAACCGTTAAATAGACTAGCACCGAAAATTGGAGTGTACTGATGACGTTGGAGTCACCGGTTAATCTGATTGATGAATTCTGACTTAACTTTTGACAGAACGCAGTGTAGTTTTATCCGAAATTTTACCGTCAAGAGTAGTATACCGTTTTGCCAGACGATGAATGACTCACATTAGCAACTATACCTCATCTAAACATTCGTGTGAATAAGTGAACCGGAATTTTCGAAGAGTTATCTTGTTCAAACTATATCTTGTTTTACCTCTGGCAGATAACCGAGGACCAGTTGTTCGTGCTTGGATTGTGGAAAGATCGGTGGGATTTGGGCCCACGCGTGGACGCCGTCTACGCACCACCGTTACCCGCAGCAGCTGAGCTACAAGGCCACACATCAGCAGCTCTCATCAGTTCGACACAACTTACAAAGGCGCGTAGAATCTACGAGATCGCATGTGTAAGCTGTCCCCTCCGATCTACTGAACAAACTTGCCAAGGTAACCAGTTGAACTTGGCAGCTCTTAAAAACGGTATAAAGCTATCGCATATCACATTCTAATCATTCAGATCAGATAACAATATTCGAAGTCGTGATATGCAGACGACGTTGGTTGTTGGGGACTCGAATTCTCCAAACCACCTTATCGTGACACAATAATTCTCTTATTATTACTGTATTTCATAAATGCGAGTTCAAACTGTGCTGCAAACAAATCATTGTACAAATTGTTGTTTGGCACATTTGAAGTTTGTATGGCGATTGTGAAAAGTTCAGTAACCTCGTTGGGATTCGAACCCACACACTGTACAACAATTTGTAGATAATAAAATCCTTCCAAGATTTGACCACCCAAGTCAAGACATGTGGACTAGCTCGAGGAGCTAAATCCTGATACTTATCCAAGATAACGGATCGGTATTTAGAAACAGCAATCAATGGGATGGGGGCTGGTGTCCATTTCACCAAATCTTACACCGTTTAGACGAGGTCAGATGTCCCGGATCTTAAATCGAGTAGATGACCACTGCCACAGTCAGAACAGTGTTTGAGTGATTCGTGCACCTTCTATTCTCGTGTGATGTGGAATCGGGAGTTTGGTCCACTGCCAGTAGTTTACTAACCCAGTTACAACCCCAGATGTTGGTAATTTTTCTCCTCCTCCTCTCTCTTCCGGGGAAATACAAAACCGGCCACGTGAAGGTAATAAGTATGGCTCTCTCTCAGCAAAAGCTGCTAGAGGTTCTTGGTCGTACAGCAGAAGCATTTGACAAGGTGTAAGGAAGAGATCAGTCACAACCTCGCCCATACCGGAGCTTTTGAAGATCCGATGACCCAACAAAATAATCACGAACTCCGTGATTCGAACCAATAATCGAAGTATCATGAGATAAGAGCCTAATGCAAGCCAAATTAATGAAACAACCAGCAAGGAACGGATCCCGATTGGGAATACTTTCACAAGCTGATTGTTAGGTTTGTAAATGCATGCGTGTTCCCCCACTGGTTGTATTGCTCCCCAGTGATTTTTCCCGGTATATTAAAGAAAGACTTTTGTTTACTGGCGAGATCTTTGAAACACTTCTCTAAATATAGCAGCATTATCAGGGATAAACTCGTGGATTCTTTCATAGGTAGACACTTAAAAGCACGTGAAGATTTCACTGCCCTAATTCTCTCACCACTCACTACACAACGAATTTTCAAAAGCTGTATCTGCAACATCCACACGCTCAAGATTTAAACTTTTATTTGCACATACCTCTACTTATCGTAATTCTGTTCTGCCATATCTAGCACATCTACTTATTGACAACGAGAAAGTTTTCATAGAATTGCGCAATTGAGAAACACAATATCTAGTGCTTTCATTGTGTTCACTATGTATGACTTCGTAAATTTAAATCCACAAATATGACGTAAATGCTGAAACTTCATACATCCGGGTGCATGAAGCTACTACTGACTTGAAAAAAATTTAGATTAGTATATTTCAGCAGATTTTTTGTGATATCAACCAGTGGGAATACTTTTTCTGACGGAGTCTATCGTTTTTCTTTCGTTGTTGTTGAATAATTTAAACTGATTTCGCAAACAACATGTGGCATTGAGAACTACTGTAACGACCTAAAGAAACGACTTCATCATTGTTAGTTGACCAGCACTCGCTTTGGTGATTTCAAATCACCTACTAGTTTTATCGTCGTCGAAACCGTGAACCAGAGTGATGACGGCCCATCAAACTCACGATCTGCCTACCATAACCTGTCATTTAGCTATCCACTGTTCACGCTGGAAAAGAACCGGGGGGACGGGACGACAGGTGGTTCATTCAACTGTGATAGAAATAAATCGGGAAGTTGCCGTGATCCGAACGGCAAGTGGCACGTGAGTGATAATGTCATCGTCAATCAATCGATTCGCTGGCAAACTGGTGGTACCCTGGCGCCGTGGTTGACTGGCATTCGTGATGTATTACGATGAGGCACTTGCAACCAAAAAAATAATCCATGGTTAACCAGTCGAATAAAACGTTTGACATCTTATGGCAATACAGTATTGCTGCACCCATATGTTGCATGTGCGTTTTACGCCTCCAAACATGGAGATGACTATGCTTTCATTGGGTTAGATACACACAACTAAATAATAATAACAATAATGTCTGTGCGTGGATAAATCTCATGTCGTATGCTAGCTATTAAAAACAACAATCATTCTTTTAGTTGTATCACTCTGGATACTCTATTGTCAAACAGGTACAGTTGGGTAAATCGCATTCCTCCATTTATCCCCAAGTCGAAACGCAAATCTTTGAATTAAATGTAGGCATAGTTGCTTTCACAAATCGTTAGAACACAAAATTGATTCGCGCTTTGTCACGACAGAGAGACTTTGAATCATCTCTAGCCTAACATTGTCAAATGAAACTAGTAGCTAAAGTGAACTCTGCTCAGAGTGTGTTGTGTGTGCGTTCCAAACGGACTGCATACATGTCAAATCACGTGAACCTGCATGACCAAACATCACGCCGATTCCCGGCTTATTTTTCTTTGGAGCGCAGCGGAGTGGGGTGGGCTTGTTTCAAACAAACATGAAAGCACACCGTGGTCCAACTCGAATCACGTGATCTGAGAGAAGAGACGTGCAGCCCCCGATGCAGTCAAGAGGGGTCATTGGGTGCAATTTCATGACGACTTTTTCATCCCCAATAATGAGTGTGTGTGGGTGATGACGAGACAAAATTCCGTGCACGGGCATTTGAGTACACAGACAAAAACTACTCACAATCAACATTGTCAATGGAAGATCAGGTGTAGATGATTCATTCCAAGGCACGATAAATGAGCGCGAGAGAGGCGGCGGCGGGGGTGCAAAGGTCATTTCAGAATAGGTATGCCATGGGAACGCCAACACAAAACTGTTTATCCTATGCACGGTATTTCAGGGTTAGTCTAGTTTCAGACAACATGCTTACACAACTGTGAGCGGAGAAGAGGCATGAGGGTCAGTATTTGGTGGAGTAGAAAACAGGAAAGGAAGATGTGCTACGCTTTCAACATAGCAAATAGAAAGCCAGTTTATATGCGTATGTTCGTCAACCATTCGATCACCAGAGGTATTAAATGATGGGCGGAAACGAATTTTTTTTGAATCTAGTGCGTAACAGTTCCGGACAATTTTGTGTTGTCGTTCTGGTGGGCTCTTTCTATCATCCATTCATGTTCTCAACCTTTATTCGAAAAATTCAATCGATAAAAATTAACGTCAAACTGATACCTCCCCGTTTTCGCTTTCACAGCCTGGCTTTAGCGAACGTCCGTCCACGCTCGCTGCGAGAATGATGGAACATAATTCGGTGACCAATTATATAACACGACCGCTACCGCAGTTTCACATCGACCCACCCGACCACTACACAATCGTGCATCCGTCAGAACCTGTGGCAGCCCTGCACGATAAGGAGAACGGCAATCCCGCGGCAAGTCCGACCGACCAACCTCTGCTCCTACGAAAAACATGGGTTGAAAGCCCCAGTTGGACTGGCTCATACGCCAGTGAATGGCATCGACTGTTCGGCGACCTGACCGCCCAACGCGGTGTCCAACAAGCGCATCCGATTCACCTGACTCAGTTGCGCGAATGTGCATTCACCGGTCAGTTGCGCAACTGCCGTTTTCGTAGTGTCTGCTGGCGACTCCATTTGGGTATTTTGCCACCGGATATGCGTCATTGGAGTATGGCAATCACAAGACATCGACGCAGTTTTCAAGAGATTGACTATGTGGTCAATTTGGATCCGCACGTGTACAACCTACACGATCATCCACTGTCCCGAGAAAAACGCAGTCGTTGGTGTCACTATTTCACCACACAGGATGTCAAGCGTGTGATCGCGCAGGATGTGGATCGCACATTTCCCGAGGTGGAGTACTTTCGCAATCCGCAGGTACAGCACGCCATGATCAACGTGTTGTACTGTTACGTGGAACATACCGGAGCGGACTATAAGCAAGGCATGCACGAGCTGCTCGCCCCGTTGTTTTTCGTCCTCCACTGCGATCAGATCGCATTTCAACACGCCTGTGAAACAAATGCCATCTCGGCTCAGTTAAAAGCGTACCTGGGTACATTGCTGAACGATCGATATTTGGAAGCGGATGCTTTCGTCCTGTTCAGTCACATTATGAACCTGGTACAATTGTGGTACGCAAATGACCGCGTTCCTCAGGTAAAACCGCGAACCCCAGTCGGTGACTCCGATATGCCTAAGTTGTTCTGTTCCGAACTAGACTTCCGGACGGCAAACAACAACAACAATAACGGCAACAAGAACAATAGCACTAACCAGCATAACAATGACTTTGTGGTTTCCAATCCGGGTGTAGCTTATGTGGAAGAGATACACGATAAACTGTTACAAAAATACAATCAAGACGTGTATTTCCACTTGAAACAGTTAGACATTGTCCCGGCCTTGTTTGGCCTACGTTGGATCCGACTGTTGTTCGGTCACGAGTTTCCGATGCAAGATCTACTTTACATATGGGATTGTATTTTCGCCGCCGAGGACGATTTCGCCCTTGTTCGATATATATATGTCAGTATGTTGGACTATCTCGGTCCCAGCCTGTTACAGATGAACTACTCGGATTGTCTATCCCATTTAATGCGTTTCCCCCAGGGGGTGGATGTGAGTTACCTGGTCCAGATGGCTTTGCATTTCTACAAACCGAAACAGTATGCTGTACCGCTTCACGTCCAGTCACCCCGACCGAACACTCCGGGAACCCCGGCCGATAGTACCGGTCGAAAATACCGACCAAGCATGTCCGGGCGTGGAAAACTTAACCGAAGTGGATCAAGTGCTGGGTTGTCCTCAGCCGGTGTGATCAGTACGGCTGCGGCCATAGCCACAATAGGCCGCGGGCCAGCCGGTCGCAAATCGTTGGGCAGGCGAAACACGCTCCTGGACACACAAAACATGCCCCGACTCAAAACGGAACAACGAGAGGTATCCAAAAGTAGTATGTCGTTGAATCGTCTGTTCCTACGAGACCAATCCGGACGATCCACACCATTGCTGGGTCCTCGAACAGCTGGTCCGATCAAAGTGGAACACAAATTGTGGTCACGTGAACTTCATCAACGTTGTCAGGAGGTGGTCAGCACATGCTGGAATCAGATGAGCGCGGTGGTGGACGAGTTGGAGAAAGAAATGCACGGACAGACAAACGAAAATGGGCCCATTCATCCTACCAATCAATCCGAAGGGCGGATTCGACTGGATCAACTTGAACGTCTCCAGATAATACAAGCTGAACTGGAAAAAGTGGTGCAATGGCTCGGTGTAGATGAAGAACCACCTGCGGTGTCGCCACAAACGGAGACCGATAGTCCGACCGTGCAGCCGATAAGACGAGCCGGATCCCTGAATCTCCTACCACCACCCGCTCTCAGACCGAAATCTGCCCAGTCCGGACTGATTGATTTTTCAAACGGTTGGTTCAAGGGAACCAGTCAAACGGATTTGAGTGCAAATTCATCAGTGAATCGTCCACAAACCACAACTCCCCAGAAATCTAGACCGGTGTCTCTAGTTCGCATGAAATTGATTCAAAAACGT